TTAATTAATTTTTTTATATTTTAATTGAAACTGAGAAAAAAATATGTTGTTTTCAAATATGATTATATTTACAGTTATCGTTATAACAAGGAATTCTGCGCTATTTTTTATTAAAAATCCATAAGAGGCCGCAATAGTCCCCGCAATTCTTTAGAAGTTAATTTTGTTAAAAATTAATGACAGATTGGCATATCTGATATGGTCAATAAAAAATCTGATATGGTCAACAATAAACTGACCAAAGCAAAGTCGTCTTAGAAAGAGTTGTACAAGATTATGAAAATGTGGCTCAAGTACTTTTTTCAATTTTTAAGGACGCTACATATATTAAAGTTACATTTATTAGATTTCAAGAAATACTGCCCATTCGTTTTTGAGGTAATAAATGTAAAATCAGTTCTTTTTCCCCAAAAACTAGTCCATTCTGACTTCTGGTCAGAATTGTAATTCCACGGGAGTTGAAATATTAAATTTAACGGAAATTTGTTAATAATAATGTCTATTTATGTGCACAAAAAAGTAAATTTGGGCTATAATAAATGTTCAATCCCGAAGCCTGCTCTATCCCAAAAATTAGCATTGAGCCATCCGTGATATAACCAGTGTTGGGATATTGAAATTTTTTAAGCCAAATTTGGCATGATATATGTTAGATGTGCATTTGGTTTCTTAAAAATTATATCAAGAACTTTTTTGGCATAATAATATCTAAAAAATCTCTGAAAAAATCATTCGTAATGCTTCGTATTTACAGATAGAAAAAATTTTAAGGAATAAGTTAAATGAAAGGTAACAAACGTTGTGCTGTTATTGTGTATAATGTTAAAACTTTCAGATATTAATATGCTCAGCTTTAAAATTCGAGCAAAAAATTATTGAAGTTGCTATCTCGTAGTAAATATGTAAATTTTTTTACGGACGCGATATTTTCAAGACTGAAATTATTTTATTAATTTGTTCAAGACAGTTTTGTTTACATAATATGCAAACATATATGTATATATTGTACGTGAAACAGAAGAAAAAGTTAATCTTTTATTGTTCAAGTTATTCAACTATATTTGAACCTCTAAGTTTTTAACATTTAACATAAAATGGTATTGCCTTTTACCTAAACTAGCCAAATTTATTCAATCAGATAACCAAGCACTGAACATAAGGAAAGGAAACAAAGATAGAAATTTTTTCTAAAAATTGGCCCAGCTGAAATTCAGACACACGAGACAGACCAACATACTTATAAAAATAGTTTGTTTACATTTCCTTATCATGCAGAAGTAATAGCCATTTCCGCCAAAAACTCGACACGCGAAACTTGTGGCATTGAATGCAATACTGTCGATCAATCAATATCTAAATAATATCTTATTTTTACTGCTTCATCTTCTGTAACATAAAAAATTTTTTAATGTTTGGGGACATAAACAATAGATTAAGCAACTGGACATATAAAAAAATTTCTTAGGAAATTATCCAGCTAGAAAAAACTGAAAAAATCAAGGGAAAAATTTTATTTTGAACATAAAGTTCGAATGCTTGGCACAGAATCAAGCATCATTTCTATTTTAAGTCCTTTACTAAGCCTTTCTGAAACTGTTTGTTTGAAGTTCCTATCTTTTTCAGCACAGAAGTTATAATCAAAAAAACCTGGATAAGTAAAAATTCCGTGAAAATTCGTAGAAATCCTTGGAACTTGGAAACCCTTAAGATTTGACCCCCAGTCCGGAACAAAAGCTTCACCCATTTTCGATATTCTATCCAATAGTATATTTTGTTGTATAACTTTCAGAATCACCCCGTATTCTTATACAATATGTTTTCGCTTGTATGTTTTATTAAATTACTTTTCACATTCATATTTCCTGTTTTTATATGCTTATGTACATATTTTTTTAAACAAAAAGTAAAAGATCTACCGCTGCTTTTAATCAAATGATATCAGTTAATTTATATACACACACGCACATATTCATACGCTTATTTCGACATAATTTGAAGTGTGAATTACTCTTGAAAAAAATTAATATTTTTTTTGTATATTTTGTTCTAGTTAATATTAAAACTAAATCATACGATTTGATATTTTTTGCAAGTGCGATTACTCATTAACTAAACATATGAAGAACTACCTGAAACCGTTACCTACTTATTAAGTAAAAGTATACAATATCAAACAACTTGCATGTTAGTAAGAATATACTCAATAAACTAAAAAACTTTCTTATCGATTAATAAAATGTCTACATTATTGAGCTGTATACAATATTATTATGTAAGCAAAAACAAGTACAAATGTTTACATATGATTAATAAAATATAATAAATGTACATATGTATGTATTTATATTCAATACAAAATATAGGCTAATATATAACTAGTCTAAACAAGATTTCACGGAAAAATTATTTAATTGAATTAAAGCGTAAGATTAATTTTAAGTACTTGCATAAATATTGAAGAGTATTTTTATTTGACACACTAATGAAATTGTTCTATGTACCTATATTAAAAATCAAATCAATTTCTTTTAATATCAGGGAAAAATAGCTCTAAATATAAGCGTTTTCTTTTTAATTTATTTGAAATTTTCTTATTAATTTTAATTGTTTTGAGTTTTTTTTAGCGTAAATATTGTTTGATAGCAAACATTTTCGTGTTTCGTTTTAAAAATATAGATATGTATTTCTTTTTTAACAAAACTTTTCCAACCAGAATCCAAAAAAAAACTAGAATTCGAATTGAAGAAGTTTTATCCGTGAAAATAGTCTTGTTTTATATTTCGTTCAAGACTTGATATACATCATGTAATTCAGACATTATTATAATATATCATGTACTTAAAAATCAGTCACCAAAGTGATAAATTACATTAACTTACACAAAAATACAATAGTTTGCAAAAAAGTTTAAAAAAATACTGTTTTCGGTCTTCAAATTTGTCTGGAAAATAGTTTTTTTAAGTTTTTTTATTTTGACTGCCATGTTTTCATGACAAACCATATTTTATAAAATTTAAATTACATGAAATGCATCACTAGGTTTCGTTTGAGCAAATGCTACTTTAGTTTACACCTGAAACCTATGAATCAGCAATGTACATATGTATGCTATTGCTGCAAATTTTAAGATATATTCATTAAATATAATAATATAAGATATATTATATTAAATATCATATTAAGATTAAACTATGTTTCTTACAAATCAACAAATTATTTGATATTCTGTTACATTTATCATTATTATTTTTAGTTATTAATTTAGTTAGTATCCGGATACTAACGAAAATTAATAGAAATTTAATCGTAATTATGCTTTTAACGATAAGTTAGAATTTAATTGAAAGTATTACACTGAAATACAGAATTATATACAAAACTTACATTGTCTAATATAGCTAACTATAAGCTAGGTAATGTTTTTAAGTACTTTCTTTTGTTTTTTGAATAATGTCACAATTGAAATAACAATTTTATTGCCGTACTTATTTAAACGTACAGTCATACGTAGTTGAATAAAGCAAGACGAATAAAATACAATTAAATATTTCAGTATAATATACAAGTACATTATTATTTAGGAAAACAAGTTGAATATAACATATACGTTCTTACTTGTATAACAGTCGTATAACATGGGTATGATACGAAGGTATGAGTATTGGTATAATACGTTCTTCATTCCATTTTTGAATACAACATTAGAAAAGTTTCCTTTTATTTAATATACATACATACATAAGTGTGTAGGAGCAATAAATAGGCAAATATATTTTCAATATAAATGTGTATATGTATTTAAAATTTGAAAATTCCTAACATATGTATCTAAATCAAAACATATGTATATACGCTTCAATGTTTGACTCGCAGGAGTGAGGTGTGCGCACAATATAAAATTATGACAGTTCTAAGAAGATAAACATACGTGTTTCTATGCCATACGTAAGTCTTCATACCTGTCAACAAAGGAGTAAAATAATTGAAATAATTTAAAACACCAAAATTTGAATAAAAACAAAAGTAGAGAAAGTGGAACCGTAAATATAAGAGGAAATTTCCGATAATTTTACTTTTCCTCTTTCTTTTATTACATTATAGGTATGTACATATATATATAGCCCCACATAAGCAATGGTATTTTATCAAATGCCATTACGTCAATATGAAAAAGTTTAATAGATATGTATCTATATGATTACCTATGCTGAAGTCGAAACATACCAGCCTAAAAAACTTTTATCATATCATAATAACGCGCACGTGTGTAGTTACATGACCCATTGTCTAAATTTAAGGTAATTTATAAAAGTTTTGTTTCACAAAATATTTTTGAATAAAGTACATACATAAATAGGCCGACATAACTATGACGGGTAACATTGGAAAACGGTATACATATGTATGTATGTACATTGGTACATTAAAAGATATCCACATTCATATGTATGATTCTATCCATCTATGTAGGTAGGTACCTGTCTATATTAATCTCTATATATAGGTACCTGTCTATATGTTTCAATTTAAAATATGTAAATATCGATTTTTTCTTTTACGTACTTATTTTAAATATTAATTTTTAATTTTATTACTTGATTTTTCCACTATATGTGTGTACTTTAAAAAGATATAACAAAGCATTACCTTCACATAGCTCCGGCTTTCGAAAATTTTTACTGGAACTACCTGGTAACTACCTATACCTACATAATGATGTAGATATTAATTCTTAATTTTACAAAAATTTTCATGTTTTGCAAATCACATCATCACACAAGGTCAAGAGCAATATATTCAAATCCAAACAAAAAAGAAAAGAGAAAAACAAAAACCATAGTTTATTTTCGTCACAGTGGAAATTTTTTTACCGAGGCCACTTCTCTTTAGCTTAAGCCTCAGACGCCCACTTAGTTACACTAAGTATGACTAATCAATTGTTGAAGAATACACATGCATACATATATGTAAATATTAAACGAATCTATGTAGATACTCACCAGCCATCGCACCAAACTCTAACTTCTTTTTTTTCTGATCCCATCTTTGTCAAATATATATTTTGTTACGATGTAATACCACAATTCAACAATATTTTAGAGTATTTTAAATATTTTCCCAAAAATAATCCAAATCACTAAATTTTATAATACCGCCTTAATTACAATGTATATGTGTATGTGTATTTATTCAATTGAAAATTTGAGTCCAGAAAAATTGAATAAGGATTAGATCACGCCACTTTTTTCCTCAGAATATATTATGGATTTACTAATTTACTATTTTATTACGCGACGTTTGTTGTGCTACTATCTTTATTCCCCTTTGGAACAATTGCTTTTATAAGAAGCTTTTCTTTCAAATTATACAAACAAACAAAATATAATGACAGCAACTGTCACGTGGGATATCTTTTTGTTTTTAAATTAAGAACATTAAATGGTAATCTGACATTTCATAATTCTCTAATAGTTCACAATAGTAAAACACAAACTCAAAAATTTATTTACAAAAATTTTCTAGCATACGCTAATTTTGTCAGATGCGATTTATTATAATAAATTATTGATAATTTTGAATTTATAAAATAATTACGACAATTTTGATAATAGTAATTAAATAAGTACTGTAAGGTTTTTTATTAAAACTAAACCAGAATAACATAGAAGTGTAAGTATAATTTGGTTACAGAAATATATTAAAATATAATAGTAATAAAGCAAGTTTGCGATTCTACATTTTGACTTATGTCATTGTTCTCGCAAATGTAGAATATGTAATGCGCGATCTTAAAATTTAACAACAAAAATTTTTTTTGGAAAATAATTTTAAATTTTACAAATTTAACACAATAAATAGATGAATTAAATTAATATGCTGGTAATTAATATGGACCTTGTTATGAATAAATCCGATATACGATATGCGATACAAATACCGTATCGTTATCATTTAATCTATAACCAGGGCTGTCGTTTGATTTTTAGGATAAGGAGCAGAAATATTCGAAAAAGGAATCCATTTTCAAAAAAGTGGAGCCAATTCCTATATTTCATAAGAATCAATTAATTATTGTAAAACATAAACTTTCAAAAAAAATTATTAACAAATTAATAAATCCGAATTGAAAAATATCACAATAAAAATTTAAACTTAAAATAATATTTTTTACATAAAACTTCATACATGTACGTTTGTACATTTTTTAAAGTTTAATGATTAGAAAATGCCGTCAAATGTTAAAAAAACCTCAATGTTAATGACGTTTTTTTCTGATCATATATTTTCTGCTTTATTAATTTCCTTATATAAAAAAGCTTACTTCAAGTAAGAAAAATGTATACCTGAAATTTTCTTCCTGTAAGTTTAAATAAGACCTCAACTTGGTTTCACACCAATATTTCAAAGTTCATTCAAGTTTTTTATACCAATATTTTTAAATAATTCTTTTGAATTTGAAATGTTGCTTACCATTTCAACATGAAAACAGTTTCTCAATTTAGTTTTAATCAAATTAACAGAAGAAAATACGCTTTCAGCTGCCCTAAACAATGCGCTAAACTGAGGGAGCTTTGAATAAATTTTTTAAGTTTTCAGCAATATAATCGATCGAATTCAATCAAAATGTCAAAATTGCAATATTATCGTATAAAAGCTATATTGATGTGTATTATATTTTGTTGTCAGGTTCAAAGATTTTAAATTCATATGAACTCATACAATCATATGAAAAATTTAAAAATAAAAAAAAAGTTTGCCATAGACAAGTTTTGTTTTAAATACAATAAAATAATACAATGCTATCAACTGAATTTTTTTTGAAGACGAAGACGAAGAACTACATCAAGACATAAGGATCACATGAAGAAAGAATAGAGATCTGTTGTAGGAGGTCCTATACTATTTATGTAATTCATAAGAAATTTTGATCCAAAATTTATCGGCACAAGTTTTTGAACAAACATTTCTTGCAGTATCTAAATTCTGTTCCATTATTTCAGTTACCTTATTAAGTTGAGATTTATTACTAACAATTCTGTTCCTAAAAATACAATATCAAATTTATTTTAACTTATAGTTCTCAATTATGTTAATAATAATTTTATTAACTGAAAAACTACTTGTAAAATCACTGTCGTATGTTATCGTATAGTAAAACTTACCCGATAAAATCTATCTGGAAATTCCAAAAATAAATTTTTCATAATACAATAAACGCTAATTTACATGCGATAATGTAAATCAAATGAAATACGATAAATCATCCGAAACAATGCCGATAAATAAATTACATAATACTAGTACTACAATAACTATCAGAATTTAGAAATATCGTGTATCGTACAATATATTTTTTTAATAATAAGGGCCTATATTTCTGTTTCTCTTTAATAAGATTTCCCATCTTCCCATTTTCAAAATAAATAAGGTTTTTAGTCTAAAATCGCTTATTTTAGAAGTCATGTATATTATGTGATATTTGAAATGGTAGTACTAGAAAATCATCCTTAAAAACATCAAAAATGAGACCAACTATTTTTTAATGAAAACTTTGAACGTCCTTTTTTCTAAAAATTTACCTTGAAAAAATTCAAATTGATACAAAGCTAATATTAAATATTGCAAAAAAATAATAAAACTAGCTGCAGGAAATTTTGCAGTCAGGTGCTCAATCATGCCACAGATGTATCCTTGGAATTTTTGTGGAATGGTTTGACAGATTCGGGTAGACAATTTTAAAAGCTAACATTAAATATTTGAAAAAACAATGAAATTCAGAATAAAATTAGGCGGTTGTATGTCAATTTATGCTTTATGGAATGGTTTCTCAGGTTTGAGTAGTTGCCTTACAACTATAAAAACTAATTTCAAATATTTGAAAAAGTTATAAAGTTGAATTCATGAAACTTGTTACATTTTCGCCACACTTGTTGAATTGGACCGTCACTGCTGTATTGAATTTGCTCTCACTAATGTTGAATTTGCGCTCATCAGAAAAATTAACTTTATTCCAAAAATCGGTATTTTTACAGCAGTGACGCTGGCGAAAATGTAACACTGAACTGACCGTCACTAATGTTGAATTTGCTCTGATCAGAAAAAATAACTTTATTCAAAAAATCGGTATTTTTACAGCAGTGACGATGGCGAAAATGTAACACTGAACTGAATAAAGAAAATTTATGTGTAACAGTGAAACATGGACCATATGCAACAGCTGCACATATTGTAAGGGAGTGGATATTATATAATATTCCAAGTACTCTAAAAACACCTCCCCAATCTCCAGATATCAATCCCGTTGAACATTTATGGGATGTTTTAGAAAAAAGGGTTCGAACTCATCACGTTACATCTACGACCCAATTAAAGGAAGTTTTAGCAAACGAATGGGCAAACATTCAATGTCTAACAGACTAAAAGAAGTTTGGAAAAGAAAAGGAATACCTACTTTATATTAGTTACTAATATTTTTTTATAAATTAAAATATAACATGTGCAGTGCCTAACATGTTTTCGCACATAAGTAATTTGCCATAAAATTTTTATTTAATTATTTTTTGATTCGGTTATGAATTTGAAAATTTGTTATTACGTATTGAATAAAGAATAAATTAATGAATAAATTTTACTTTTAGTGCTTTTATGTAGAGTTTATATTTTTTTCAGAAATTCGGTTCAAAAATAAAATTTCTAGCTGTGCCTATACTTTTTTCAGTCAGTGTAAATCGAATCTACTTTAGAAAGTTCAGAGCTGAAAATTTGTGTTTTTTTTTTATTATTGGGACCATTTTCGCTATTTTTAAACTTCAGCGATAAAAAATGAAAATCGCTAAAAAAATACTAGCAGTTTTAAGTGCCTTTTATTGGAATTAGGTTTGTGATGAAAATAAAAATTAAACAAGTAAAAACGTTTCAGTCGGTATAAACCGATTGAATTATACCCTGCACTTTTCGTTGTTGTATAGCAATTACTCGAACCTGTGAAACCATTCTATAGAAACTTCAGAAATGTCTGGCCTATAATTGGACGCACGACTGCCAAGTTTCATGAATCTGACTTTATTATTTTTCCAAATATTTAGAATAAGCTTTTGGAGTTGTATTGCAACTACCCGAACCTGTCAAGCATTTCAACCAAAAGTTAAGAAAAGTATCTGACCTATATTTGGACACGCAACTGCCAAGTTTCATCAATCTGACTATATTATTTTTCCAAATATTTATAGAATAAGCTTTTGGACTAAGGGAGCTACTCGAACCTGTCAAGCAATTTCACCAAAACTTCAGAAATATGTCTGACCTACAATTGGACACACGACTGCCAAGTCTCATGAATATGACTTTATTATTTTTCCAAATATTTAAAATTAGGTTCTGGAGTTGTATGGCAAGTACCCCAACCTGTCAAGCAATTCCACCAAAAATAAAGAAAAGTATCTGACCTATAATTGGACACGTAACTGCCAAGTTTCATGAATCTGACTTTATCATTTTTCCAAATATTTAGGATAAGCTTTTGAACTTGTGTGGCAGGCACCCGAACCTGTCAAGCAATTCCATTAAAACTTCAGAAATATATCTGACTTATAGTTGGACACATGACTGCCAAGTTTCATGAATCTGATTTTATTATTTTTCCGAATATAAAAAATTTGCTTTGGAGTTGTATGGCAGCCACCCGAACCGGTGCAGCTATCCCATTAAAATTTTTAGAGAATGTGTAGAATATAATTGGACACATGTATACAAAATTTTATATTAATACCTTTATTAGTTTTTGAAATATTTAAAATAAACTCTTTGTGTATGGCAGCTACCTGAACTCGTTGTCCGAATTAATTCAATTACAGTAGGGTTCGTCCTTGGCACAAAAGAAAAAACTTGTGAAATTTTGGTGTCGATTGCATTATTCGTTTTTGAGGTATGTATCGTGCGATCGGACGGACGGACGGACGGATATATCTAAATCTACGCAGAATTTGACGCTGAGAAAGAATATACATATATATATGTCCATACCGGAGACGACTCCTTCAAGTAGTTACAAACTCCATACCAAAGTTAATATTATATCCTTTACGAAGTGCAGGGTATAAAAAAAAGCATTTGACTCTTTTCTTTAAAAAACATTTTGACAAATTAAAAATACTCTAACAGATTTATTATTGCGTTTATTTATTTTCCATTATTTTTAATGTTCACTTCTGGCGACTTATGGCTTCTTACGAGATGGCTCTTTTTTCATATTGTGCCTAACATGTCGATTATCCTTAAGCTACGATATTATTTGTAGAAATATCGCATCATTTGGTAGAAATATTCTTTAAAATTTTTATTTAAAACATATTTTTAGGAATAAATCTCGTGCAAGCCATATTTTCATTTGTGAAATTTTTAGCGAATTTACCGTAAATTAAGCCTATAAATTGAATTTTGTGTTTTTTTAAATGATTTTGAGTTTGACTGTTTAAATGATTTTGCGTTTGACAAATTTTGAATGAATTCAAAATTTGTGTTCTTTTTCGTAATCAAACGTGTGGTGTATATTTTTCGTGGATTCTAAGTATATATTCTATTATAAATTTTATATTAAGTAGATGTAGACAATTTCAATATTCACAGACCGTTAATTTAGCGATTTTTTTTGTGATGTCAACACTTACTGGGTTCATTTTAAAGTTTGAGCTTTCAGGTTTCAATTTTTTTTCAATTATCAATCGAATCAGATTTAACGGTTGAGATAAAAAACGAAAAAGGCCTTAGAAAAACATCTAAAAAATATCTTTTACTTTGGAAAAATGTTGTCACATAAAGTCTATATTTAAACATATATCAAGAATAACGTCTTGTTCGTTATTATACAAGCGGAGTATAGTATAACCATTCCTTTTTTAAAGAGCTTACATAAACCGTAAATATTTTACTTGAAAATTACGTTACCTGAATGTACATGTATGTATGTATGTACGTACTAGTCGCCGAGTTTGGAATGGTGAGAAAGATATTGTTCTAAATTCCACAATCTTGTTTATTAAGGTCCAAAAAGTAATGAAATTTTTAATGCATTTTTTAAAAAAAGAAAAGAATAATCTGTTTTTTATCGATAATTTATTGCTTAATTAAATTTCGCAGCAAGTCCATTTTTCAGTTAAATAAAGTATGTTATCAAATTCAGCTACTTAATTTATATCCCTAAATATGAGCACAGAATAAAAGATACTATCAAGACTGCGAAGATAAATATAGTCGCAACCCAAGCTGGTAACGTTTCTAAAAATATTTCAAAAGTGATACATATGTTAACGATATTTAGCAATATTTATATAAGTGACTTACGTCTATATTGTAGTTTATGTACACAAACCCTATTATCAACAGATATGGATAAAACCGCAGCTTCAGTGTCACTTGATATTGGTGGACCTTCTTGATTTGTTACTGGTAAAAATGCTAAACCTGTTACGAACATAGAATGAGCATTTGGAATGTGAAGTACACGCTGAAAATATTTCCGATTACATTTCAAGAACACAAAATTATAATTTATAACAACTATACCTGTAAACTAAATGCAACATATATTGAGATACTTCCTGAGAACATTGTACCAATGGCCACAAATCTTCCATCATCCCTGACTGCTAACGAAGCTAAACTTTCATTGATTTCTACACCAATTTTTATTTTGCCACTATCACATTCCCATTGCTGAAGAAATCCTTTTTGTTTACCTACTTTTCCCAAGGGGTTGGTAATTGTAAATAATCGATATTCATTTTTATTTCCCTCAATTGTTCCATATCGACATCTTTTAAATATATACTTGGCACTATTTGGTGTCGGCCACTCCAAACTTTGATGAAGTTTTCCTTTAAGTAAATTCCAAACAAGACCTTTTCCATCTTTTGCTATCGAACATATATATTTTGAGTCAGGACTAAAATCAATATCATCAATCTCCTTCGTGTGAGCTCTAAAATTATTATAAAGAACTGAAAAGGTGTTTTTGAGAAATATTTTATTTCGTACGCTATTTCATTATGTTTAATTATTTGTGGAAAATTCCATATCCTCAAAAAACCATCTGTTCCTCCAGTACTCATCCAATGGCCATTGGGAGATATTTTTACTACTTTTTGTAATGGTTCTATTGGCAAAAAATCGGTTTGTACAGAATCTCCAGGTTTAATCTCGAATGTAATTTTTTTCATTGCACTTTGAGCACCATTTGCTAATTTAATTTTAGGTTTATCTTGTAAATTTTCTACGCCACTACTTTTTTCGCTATTTAACCTTCGCCTAATTTTTCCATTTTGTGTTACACCATTACTATGGTGTGTTGGTAATTTTTCACCCTCCTCACCCTCAACCAATATTTTTGGATTAACATAATACATCTGGGAATGAGATTCTTGCCCAGCAACTAAATATGACCGTTTTCCATCATTTTTCACAGCAAAATTCATTACTACATTTAAACCAGTTTCGTGTCGAATGACCTCCTCAGCAACAAATTTACTTCCGTCATGATATATTTCGTATATTTCCTATAGAAAATTTTAAACCAGTTGTTATTTTTTTATTTCCATTTTTTATGAAAAAGATAGGTAATATGATCTTACGAAACCATTTGCTACTCCTGTTTTACTCGAACCTCCTCCTCCAGCAACAAGGACATGACGACTCGTTAACATTTCTACGGCATAAAGTGGAAAATTGACTCTTGCTAAAAGACCACCGCTAGGTCTTCTTCTTGGGGCCATTTCACTTCTTACTTAAAATATTTTAAGTTTTTTTTAATTAAATTAGCTTAATCCTATTTATTGATCCTTTATTACTTCTAGCTAATTAAAAATGAATGAAAACAAAGTTCCACGTAATTTTTAATGACAATATGATATAAAATTGACATTTGATTGTCAAAATAGAGGTGCAATAAATTTTGTATCAAATTGAGAGTAATATAAATGGCAAAAAAAAAAACTTTGACAACATTGAATTATGGGTAAAAATTAGGAACAGAATGAAGTACAGGTTTATTGTTTTAGTTCCGTTCGTTCTAAAATTGCAACATGAAAGATGAAACATTAAAAAATGACAATTTTTTGTTATAATATACTTCTATCTTAATACCAAAACAAAAACAGCTGATTTCGACGTTCCTTTTACCTTTCGCGTTCTTATAATAATTTTTAATTGAAGGTTCAGTTGTTGCTTGGTGTTCAGGTGTTTAATAGTGATGCTAGTTTAAATTAAATAAAGAATTAGAAGTGTTTTACAAATATATCCCAAAGTTTAATAATTTTTTAATTTTAATTGTTATGACGCCATCAGAAATTGTTCGTAGAAGGAAAGAGGTAAAAAGATAATATTAACCAATAGATTTGCAAACTTTACGTGTATGTGTTTTAAAGTTGATTTGTATTACTGCTAAATAAATAAAATACAAAAAATAAGTCAAGTTTACGAAATGAAATATTTAGATATGTAATTTTTATCTTTAAATTATCTTTTTGCAAATAGAAATTTTTAAAAAAGTTGTTACATTGTGTGATAAAAGAATCTAAAATTTACAATTTTAGCCATGTCATTTATAAGCAAAAACAATTGTTATGTAGTTAAGAATGTACATGTTTGTAATTACATTGATAGCAATACTAGTTGTGATCGTTGACTAATCACAACATAAAAGACGACAGAATGATTTAACAAAATTTTATTATTTAAATTTAACCGGATTTTTTGTTCGATTTACAACAGTAACCTTGCTCTTTGATCTGCGTTCTATGGGAATCTACAGGTCTATTGCGTCTATTGTATTTTGAAAATTCAATTTGCTATATATTTGTTTTAGCAACTCATAAGTAACTAAGTTGTCTTAAATAAGTTGTCATATATGTATGTATGTATTTAAATAAAATGTATAAATGCTAAGTACATGTGTATATCTATTTGAATTTAATAAATATTGTTAGCCAAAAAAATAATGAGCTATATATTTATACATAATATTTACCTACTTAACATAATACATTTTTATGTATATAAAATACTTATACAGGTACTTTTGATAATACGAGTTACTTTGATAACTAAAATTATTAAAAAATATTAACAGCATGATAAAATTTTTAGATGTATAAATGTGATTCAATATTGGAAAATATTAAAAAGATCAAGTTATTTGGCGATAGTCCAATTAATATTGCGTAATAAAAAAATTTTAATTATATTTTGTAATACATTTTGAACATGTAGTTTAGTTCACTGAATTAAATTGCATATTATGTATAAATGTGTACATATAGTTTAATTTATATTTATACATAGACATTTATATATGTACAACCCGGATAGTCAAGGGTTTCTTAGGAATTCAGTTGTACAAAAATATGTTATATTCTAAATGATGTACACAGTAAATGATGAAATATTGCTTAATAGAACTCTGAAACATAGGTACTAAAACATCCAACTGATTCTTTTTAATGAAATACTCGTAATTATCTTTGTTAGAAGATAAAAAGCGTTATGTATGGCTTTTAAGAAATTATAAAATATCTCTTGTAAACAAAGACAATATAAACAAAGCGATATAAACCTATTATAAAAGCAATTATTACACATAATCTGTTATTCGTTTCACTTGAAGTGATGGGTGATATTCAAAAATATTGTAATTTTCTAAATAAAATCAATTTTGGATTTGAAATTATATGCTAAAAAGCAAAATACTTTTTAATAATATTCCATTACCATAAGTGATGCGACTAACAATATATGGTTGAATGGGTTTTTTTAACTTAGGAGTAGATTAGATACGTATAATAGGTAGAACTTCAAGATAAGTACAGCTTGTGTCGGAGACCATCGTGGTTCCTCCGAAGTTAGAGCGAATTTTTATTAGGCATAATCTCAGGTTTGTCGAATTATATAATGTTCGTTATCATTTTACTGATTATGGAAGAAATTACCTGGTCACTAATATTTTGCACATCTGAATAATGCCTTCCAATTTTAGAAACGTTTTCAGCAATCGGAAAACACTGCATATGTTGAAAATTGCTAAAATTTACAATATAGGTACCATTTACGATTTCTAAATTTTTAACTTAAATTTTTCTAATCAAACGTAGCTTTGTGTACCATTACATCGTGTCTGTAATATTTTATGATGATTAAGACTTTAGGTTATGGTAAAATTATTAGTGCCTAAAATCTAATTATGAACATCTGCATCTACAACCTGCAGTTTAGAAGGTAAATTTTTGCGGCCATTTTGTTTTCCTGAATTTCAAATATGGTATGCCGTGGTAGGGAGCACAATGTGTATTAATAACAATATACAATATACAAATAAAAATATACGCTAGATTTTATTGTGCAATAAATAAAAGTAAGAACTTAAAAATGTTTCAGTCGATATAAATAAACCGAGTGAATTATACCCCTGCACCTTTCATTGTTGTATAGCAATTATTCGAACCTGTGAAACCATTCTATGTAACCTGTGCAAAAATTTTCTAATTTAGAAACTGATTTTCAACCTAGACTATTTTATAATTCAAAAATTTTACCCAAAAAACTACTATGTTCGCTTTCCATTCATTTGATATTATTTTTTCGCCAGTATAAGCAACAGTCCCATTCAATATCAATATCGTTAATAAAATCAAATATTTTCTCAAGTCCAATTCAAGAAATTAGTACAAAAGTAATTTTGCAGCTAACATTTATAAGAAAGTTATATTCAACTGTGACTCAACTGCCAATAATGCCGGAATAGAATTGATCACTTAAAAAATTTTTAACATTTGGCCGTAAAACTTGCAAAAATTTGAATTCAATACCCGTACAAATTTGTTATACTATGTGCGAGGAAATATGCCGTGACTGAAAGATTACGACTTTAAGTTTCTGTATTACTACATAATTTCAGTATTTTCTAAAATATGGCCAAACTGCTATTGAAATTGTATGGCAGGTACCACAAGGATTTAAGAAATTTCAACGATTTTTATCGCATATGACAGCCCTAATAATAAACCCGTTTTCTCGAAATTTCTATATTTTTACCCAAGTAATTTCTGATATAATGCCAAATAACTTTTGAAGTTGTATGACAGCTATCACAAGTACTACTGAGATCTCAACAATTGTTAATAAATATAGCTGCCATTTTACCATATTTTATTTTTTAAAATTTCAGTACAGTAGGTTGAACAGTTTTTAAGATATTACCAAACAACTTTTCAAGTTGTGTGGCAGTCACCAGAAGGAGTCAAGGATTTTCAATGACTTTTATCGAGCACAATGGCCCTAAAAATATATATGCATGTACGGAATTTCAATACTATAGCTTCTATAATTTCTGAGATATAACTAAATACATTTTGAAATTGTACCTCGATCATATCCAATTTAAATAGAGTCCTGACATTTACTATAATAAATTAATTCCGAAAATTTGGTGAACTTAGCTTAATCGGTTTTGAGTTATCGCTGGGACGGATAGGCAGCCGAACAGACAAAGCTAAGTCGACTCAAAATTCGACTGTGATCAAAAACATATACATACTTAAGTCTATATCTCATACCACTATTTTTTAATTTTATTAAAGCAAGATTGAAATAAAAAGATTAAAAAAAAATTCATAATTTTTTTATGCTATTTTATATTGACAATAATATTAATTAGAAAGCTTAACAGTAAAATATCTATTTCTGTTTAACATCAAATTAAAAATTCTTTTTTAATATTATTTGTCTTGCTATAATTTTTTTTTTTATTTTTTAAAATTACATACATATATGTATGTACATTCGAGTTCACATTTATAAGTCCTAGAGATAAGACACTTCGAGTTACGATATGATATAAATTTGGACCATTTTTATTAGGCTTGCGACGTTTTTTCTGATACGACATTAAAAACAATTTTTTTTTAGTAGATTTTACTGGTTTTGGAATAAAAATCTATTCCGAATTTAGTTATATGTACGTTAAGGCAAGTCTAAAGCACATACTTGAATAATGAACTCTTTCTAGTTAAAAATAATAGTCAAAAAACTAATTGAAGTGATATAATATTGACTTAATCAGATTTTTGCCACAAAATTAATTTTTTTTTGATTTCGTTATTATATTTTGTTGTTTTTTTTAAACTTTGATATCCTTTTTACAAAACAGATGAATTATATTATAAAATAGTTTGTCTAATTTACTTTTTGTTTCCATACATTTTTTTTCCGCATCAAACGAAAATTCGCGTTGCGACATAAATTTCTGGAGTCAAAAATGTCGTATCTCGAGGACTTAGTGTATTACATAAATTATAATTTTTTTTAAATTTAGCACTCAAATTTTTTTTTTAAATTACTTCGCTTTTGTAATGTACAGTACAGTGTAATGTAAATTTTGTAATGTAAAAATTTGTAAATTTGTAATGTAAATGGAACAAAGTACAGAAATTAAAGTGTCGCCTTTAAAATTCTTAATATTTTTCCTTACACTTTTTATTCGAAAAAATAATAAAGTGCCATCTGCACTTTCTTTCTCCTCATAATTCCTATATGCATAAAAATAGAAATAAGAAGACATACACAGGTACTTCTTAATTTTTTTTGATAAGGGAATTTTTTTATATAAAAATTGGTGTGTAATTACATTAGTGTATTAGGCAGAGAGAATATATAATCACTTTATTATGATTAAAGAATGTATGTTTATTAAATTAATTTTGAAAAACAAAAAAAGAAATTAACAATAATTGACAACGTTATTTTTATTGATTTGGTACATGTACATTTTTAAATTAACGGAAATTGTCAAAACTGCTCTAAACCAATTGCATTTTCCACGTTCGATTATATTTTCAAAATTCTTCCTCTTTTCATTCCTCTCTTCTTAGGAGGTTGAACACCATCATTTTACAGGTGCTTCTGCATCTGACTTTTAACATGACGTGATTGAAGGGAAGATTGCACCAGTCTGCTATATTTTTGGACCATGATTTTCTAGCTCGACCCCTGCTTCTTGTACTCTGCATTTGTCCTTGTAATACCAACTTTAGAATGTTATACCTCTCACTTCTCATGATGTGGCCGAGATACCCGAGAAAATTATTTGGTGATTTTCACTATTCCAGATTCAACAACTTTTTTTCGTTTATTTATACATATAATAATTATGAATATTCCAATATCCATTATTATACATCATTATCATTATATAAATTCATAATTGTGAATATTCTGTTTGACACAAACAAATTAATGCAGCACTCTGAACAGCCCTGCACGGTTTTTATAGCTTTTCTTTTCTAAAGCTTTTATATAAAACATGTAACTTGGAACAGAATAACTTTAGAATCTTCTGTTTCATGTTTTCTATATTTCAATCAAATTGTTTCTCTTTGTTTTGACGTTTAAACTTTTCTACTTTGTTTTTTTCTAATTCGCATTCGCACAAAATTCATCCGCAGAAACAAAAGTGGATGTAGGAGGAAAATAAATTTGTAATTATGAAATATCAAATTTAAGTTTTATCTTACACTTAATGTTTATTTGTTCTTAATTTTAAGCTTTAATTAAATATTTAAGAAGTGAAAATTTAAAAAAGATTTTATATATTTTTGTGATAAAACATCAATGAAAAGTAGCATGATTTGCATATCAAAAATTTTTATCTTCTCAATGTGAAGTGTTGGCAGTAGATCAACAGAAAAGTGATGAGGTTTGAATATGAATTGGTATGTATTATCTAATTGAAAGTAGGGTAAAAAATTTGGAACTTGATACACAAATTTCACACGCGAGCTGCAAGTTTTATTTTGATATACATACATAAATACCTAACTTATCTAGCTATTTTTTTCCAAATTTTCCTTTAAAAAAACAAACTTCTTAATATGCAACTGAAAACTGAGTAGCTTAAGCTTAAAAAATAAGCTGCAATCTTGTACATTCTATGTGCATGCATATATTTTAACAGCAATTATTTTCTGGATAATTTTTTTTTATTCTTCCATGAACTTTATGGACAAACGACACTGTGTAGAAGATATTCGTATGTGTATACTGCATACGTAAAATTTATTATATGTACCTTTCTCTGGTATCTAATACCTATCTGATTAATAGAGCAGGATAATATAACATACGAATGTTTCATATCTAGATATGTATGTATTTATATGCGTTACGTATATAAGATATTGCGGGTATTCGCGGTATGGTATTGCAGGTTAAACTATGTTTCTTGGTAACAATCTAATAAATAAATATTTAATGAAGTTGTAGGTCGGTAAATGAAATACCCACCACAAGTACTAATTTCAAAGTTAAGTGAAGTTAAAAACTTATTTTTAAATAATTTGTCAATAATCCACCTAACTACTTACCTAGATAAATTCTATAAAATATTTCGTGAAAACAATTTTATGGTTTTAAAAAAGAAGGTATAAAGATATTCATAAATAAAAATTATATAATAACGATATACGTATTCAAATATTTAAACAAATAATGTTAGTAAATTTTTTATTAGAATTTTTGCTTCCAAAATTTTTTAATATCATGCGTCTGGGTAATTAGGTATTCCATCGATCTGTAGCAAAAATATAGATTTCGATTATTTCATTATGAAGAAATCTACATAGTAAAAATATAGTATTTTCCATATTTGAAAACGTTGCCACTTAATTTTTTTAGAATCGAGTATGTCAGCAGTTAGTTACTTATTCACGCTTAAATTTTATTTGTCTAACAATTGTCGTTTTTGAAATTACCCAATCAGCCAACTAATTAATTTCCAATTTTTATTATAAGTATTTATATATAAAAGCTTTGTATTTTTAGCAAATTAATTAAATTGTCAAGAGAAAAATTTATTCTTGATTGGAACATAGAATGGAAAATATTTTCATTGTCACTTATCCGTTATATAAAGTAAATTTCATAAAATATGATATGCGTCCATAAATAAAATCAAAGAGATTTTATACATATACATACATATATGTATAGAAACTTAATTCAAAACAAATTTTTTATTTGAATTTTACTTAAAATTTAAGTTGAATATAAATTGTAATTCAAGAAATACTCAATTTCATCAAATATTTGCAGCTGTCCCAAGATGAAGAAGAAAAACGGCCTGCCAGAAGGAAATCAAATACATCCTCGGGAGGGGGAACGCAAGGATTAAAAGTATCATTTTTGTGCTTAATAGCATGCGTAATTCTGATATTATTAGTTTTAGGTAAGCTTAAAGTTTTTTTATTGATTGCGATTTTGTTAAAAAACCCATAATAATTTATAAATTTTAGAAACATTCTGTTCGTCTTAAATGTATTTGATTAATTTAGTTATGTTTTTCATATGTTTCATATGTATTTCAGGTTTATATATGGATTCTATGAGTCCTGTGTTGGAACGTATAGTTTTAAAATTTGGCTATGAAAGACCACAGTATGCAGTAGTTATTGATGCTGGATCTACAGCAAGTCGAGTAGTAGCATTTAAATTCCATAAAAGCTACATAGGTATTCTATAAAATCCAAATGAATTTAAAAATTTATAATGTTTTTTATTTAGAAAAATTTGGCCCTTCGATTTCAGTATTTAATTAGTTTCATTTATAGATCCCCTTGAATTTTTTTTTCAGATAATAAATTACATCTTGACAAAGAACTGTTTGTAGAACGTAAGCCTGGCTTATCTTCATTTTCTAAAAATCCAGCTAAGGTAGAAATTTTAATAACAAAACAATATAAATATTGCAATTTATTTTATTGCTTTATTATTTGTAGGGGGCGCATTCGATAGAACTTTTGTTGGATGAAGCAAAACATTTTATACCAAAAGAAAAATGGTCAGATACTCCTTTAGTTCTCAAAGCAACAGCTGGATTGCGATTATTGCCCGGACATGAAGCAAATGACCTCTTAAGTGCAGTTAGAGAATTATTCGTTAAATCTGAATTTTTGGTAGATGAAAATGCTGTAGAAATAATGGATGGTACTGATGAAGGAATTTATGCTTGGTTTACATTAAATTTATTACTAGGAAGATTGTCCAAGAGTAGCCAAGCAGCTTCTTTAGATTTAGGTGGCGGAAGCACACAAGTTACATTTTCTCCAGCAGATGCCGCACAAATTCCTATTTATGAAAAATATATTGTACCGGTTCATGTTTTTAATAAGGAAATTAATGTTTTTACGCATAGTTATTTGGGATTAGGACTAATGGCTGTGAGACACTCTGTCTTTACACATAATTTACATAAAAGTCAAACTTCTATCGAAAGTTCTTGTGTCAATCCAATTATACAAAATAAAACATGGATCTATGATAACACTGAATATTCAATTAGGTAACCTTTTATGAATGATAGTATACCATAATATAATGTTCAAATAATTTTAGTGGTAAAGATAATTCAGCATCAACTTTTGAAAATCCAGTTGTAGATTTTGATGTTTGTTTAAATAGCATAAAAAGTATTGTTTTACCATTAATTAAGCCGAAACCGATAACGTTAAAGCATCATGTAATTGCTGCATTCAGTTATTTCTTTGAACGGGCAATTGAATCTGGCTTGCTAGACTTAGAAGGAGGTGAAATAACTGTTGGAAAATTTCGTGATGGTGCTAAAGAAGTTTGTAAACAAGCTAACACTGATCAGCCCTTTATGTGTATTGATTTAACATACATTTCGACACTTCTTCGAGAAGGCTATGGTTTGGATAATACAAAGAAAATTAAAGTAGGCATAATTCATTCCAATTAAACTTTTTGTATCAATATTTTATTTATTTCATTACAGTTGTACAAAAAAATTGACGGACATAATGTATCATGGGCATTAGGCTTAGCATACAATTTATTAACAACGAATGAAAGATATCATTCTTCTTAACAAAATATATACGAAATTATTGGAAAATAGTAAATAAAATTTCTTATTACAAATACGTAATTCTGTATAATTCCGTTCTCTATTTTGTTTAAGCATTGTGAAACGTATTCGTATAATAATTTATCTAAATTGTCATTCCTATTGTTTTCTTGTAAATACATACATACATATTTAGAAAATTAAAAACTTGAGCAGTAAAATTTCTTGTTTTTGATTAAGATATTCATAAATCTGATATCATACATACAAATGTAATGATTTAAATTTAAGAAATAAGTTTTTTTTTTGAATATTGGCATAAAATGTTTTGTATTCAATTGTGGTAATTAGTTTTTTGTTAAGTTTTGTGAAAAATATCTTTAAAAATTCTTGTTCTTATTGTTTGATCCGCTATTTAATTTTGTCTATTTACTATTTAATATATTTAATATATATAGTACATAGTTTATATAGTAATTTTTTTCTTTAACAAAATGTAAAAAGCAAAGCTAGAATTTAAATATAAATTAGATAGAATTCTAAAATAATAAGGATTTTTTCTTATATACAAATTAGCTAAAATTGATATTTGTGTATGTATATGTTTTTGTGTATGGACACATGTAAATAAAATATTTTAGTTGCAAAAGAAATTAAAATGTAAAAATGAATTTTTCTATTTCATAAATTTTAAATAAAATTGGTTTTAAAAAATTATTTTATGATGTATTACTAAAGATTATAATCCAAGATTCATTTTAATAAATTCGCGTGAAAATTGTGAGCATCAATTATAATTTATACTGCTAAAAATATACGATGAAAAAATGTGAAGCAAAAATATTTAATGAAATCTCAATTATAACTGAAGCTTTTTTTCGAGTGTAATTGAAATAAAATATTAATCGCATAAAGCTTAATAAATAATATTGAATAAAGAAACTAAAATAAAATTTTGAATTTTGTTGCCGTATTATATTTGGCTGCAAAAAAGTGTATTTTCTTGTACATATCATGAAAATTAGTTTAATAACTTACCCAAGTTTTAGACTTTAATTTTTTGAAATTAGAATAATTCGGGATTTTAAAATGAAAATTAAATTGTACTTGTTAAACGAAAATTAATTTATTAACATTAAAGTTTTTAGTTAGGTTGTACAAAGATCATGTTAAAGTTATGAAATCATTAAATCTAATTATCGTTTAAAAAATTAATCAATTCAAATATTACTTAATATATTTTCCTATTTCAATCCTTGGATTTCTTATTAATTTACAACACTATTTTTCTTAATTGAAGAAAATATTAGTTTTATATTATGTCGTATGTACTTTTAGAATAAATATCTAAATATAATAAATATGACTTGAATAGTAGTTTAGATTACTTTGTTTGGTATTTTAGGACTTACCAAAAAGTTCAAACACAAAACTACTAATAAATACATACAATGAAAAATATTAAGATGTTTAAATAATATCAATCTTAAAATTAATACATATGTATATACAAATGTATTTTCAATTTTAAGGATTTTTGTTTTTAGATTTCCCAAAAAAATTTTTTTTTTTAACCATAAATTTCGATTTCTATATATTATTTAAATTAATCAGAAAATTGCAATAATTCAGAAAATGCGCTTTTTGACATTTTTCTTTTTGCAGTATGGAAGTGAAGTCTTGAGGCTTAGTGAACTCCACTTTGTTTCTAAAAAAAAATTATAATTCACAACAGTTACAATATTTAAGAATAAATTAATGAAATTTCAAGTTAGTACTTTTAAAGTTCATTGGAAAAATAATATACAACTAGAACACAAATTACGTACATCTATATAAATAAATATTTCTAAACATTAATGGTTTTACAAAATAACTTACATAGCTCTTAAAAATTCCTACGTTTCTTTACTTTATACATAAAAAAATTTATATCTAAATATACAAAAATTACTTTTTAGATTTTTATAACTAATTTTAATTCACATTAAGCGTATGGCAGTTTTAATTTTTTTTTATATTCGATTTTTATATAAATCAATTTATATAACCGATATAAATTAAATTTTTTTCTTATAAAATTTCTTAAATTTATTCTAAAGCATAAAACATTCACAGTGATAAGCATTCGCTTAATTGAATATTATGTAGGCTGTCCATATCGATCCAATCCTTTCGTTCGTTTCTTATTGCGATATTACGTATACAACCCTTGAAACTCCCTCGACTAAGAAGTGTTCCGCTTGGTGCATGGTCTAAAATAAGCAAAAAATTTTTCAGTCTAAAAAATATTAAAAATATTTTCAAATTAATACCTGGTAAACCACCAATATAAAGGGGTGATTTCGTTTGCACTTTTCCGGAAACACGGTGTTGGGCTACAGAAACTGTCGGCGGTTGATTATCTATACGTAAAGCTATTTGTTCAAAATCGTATAACGCTGATACATTGTGCCATTTATTATCACAAATTGAATATTTTGATGGCAAATAAGTTTCTACACGGAAAGGATTTCCATCGCCAAGATCACATGATAAAACCACCTAAAAAAAGTTCAATGTAAATAAAAATAAGTAAAAAATGTTGCTATTTATTTACATTTCCGTTATATATTTCTAAAGAAATGGCGGGGAAACCATCCGGTTCTGAAACACTCATTAGGATACCGTTCATTTCAGATGTTCTAAAATCTAACTCGAATTCGAGGTATTTTCCAACGTGAAAATTTTTTTCTACAAATATTTAAGAATATATTAAGTTATATTAAAAGTAACTGAATTAAGATTTACTGTAAACAGCATAAGCGTTTCCAATGAAATGTGAACCTTTTTCGACATTTCTAAAACATTTTCCAACATTCATATGTTTCTTATCTTTGGTTAAATCCTGAGTATTATTATTAATTTCCAAATTGCGAATGCATCCCTTGAACCCTTCAATTTTAACTAATAGTTCTGATGGTAATCCAACAGGTTTTTCCGGCAAACCGCCAACAAAAATTGTGTTAACTGCGCTTATTTTCTTTGGGATTTTCATCTGAACAGACGTCTTTTGATCAGTTCCCCCAATTTCGACACTCATTGTTATTTTTCTATCAAGACAATTTACGGTAACTTTATGCCATTCACCGTTATTTAATTTTGCAGTTAATGGTATTTCCTCTTTCCTTCGACCTCGCACTATCAAATTTAAGTGCCCATCTTTGAGTAAGAGGCTTACATAATGCTTTTGCTTTTCTTTTGAACCTGGTGACAGTAACAACACACCGTTTGGATAAAAAGTTCTCAAATAAAAAGTAATTTGAAAATTTTTTTGCCAGAAATGTTTAGTTGAGATAAAAAGTTGGGAATAACTTAATTGAGCATCTCCATATTTATAAGCGTTTTCTTCATAAGAAAAATTATCAACCTAGAATATTTCAAAGAACCTTTATTATTTTTGAAAAGCCTAAACTTATCTTTAATATTCAACTTACTGTAACGCAACTTTCTTCTGTACTAGGGATGAAACCAAGCATTTTCTCAATTGGTTCCGTTTTCATCAAAACATCATTCATGGTATTTGAAGACCCCATTTCAGGACCAGTGCGGCCAATTTGTGCATTTTTAAAAGATATGGCTTCTCCAAGAATGATAGTTTTATTGTTGAATACCAAGTCTTTTAAAGAACCTTGTAATCCAAATAAAGTTGGTGAAAGACCTTTGTACTCAATAAAATCAGGTGCCCCTCCAATATATAAACCGCCACTTTCTTTTGGCATATTTACTATAGTGGGTGTTGCAGAAAAAATTTCTGACTTATGGAATTCATCATCTATCATAAGCTCAACTCTTCTGCCAAATTTGATTACATTTATTATATGGTATTCACCGTCATTTAAAGTTGTATTAGATTGCAGTTTAACTGAACTTAGCCCTGTATTAATCCACAGGTGCACTCGACCATCGACTAAACTAATTGAATAATTTCCCATTGGCTCTTTGACATTGTCCGTTTTGTGAGATGAGTTAGGAGGATAAGCTGATAAAAGAAGCAGACAATCCGGTTGCAAAGTTCGAAAAACAAATGCTATATTGGCTTTCTTTTTTAATGATTGTGACTGTAGTTCTATAAAGCCGTTTCCATAAAAGCCAACCCTGGGTTTCAAAAATTAATTTTTAAATCCGATTATTTTTTGAAGTATGAAAACTTACTTGTTGCTCGTAGGTTTGCATGATGACTCAATTCCAAAATACTCAGATCCTTGAAGTGGATCATAAGAATCCCGATTAATTATGATGTCCATCATACACCCTAAAAAGGAATTATGTTTACTGCCACTTAAATCGATTAATTCTAAAGAAAAGCCTAAAATGAAACGTTTATGTATATTCAATTTCAAACATTGTTGTATTTTTGAACCTGGCGGGACTCCTCCAATATGATATGAAGCAGTGGAAACGTCAGGAATTTCACTACTTTCTATAGGGATTCCTGGAAAGCCTTTAATACTTTTCTTTTGATCTATTCTCAAAATCCCCATTTCAGCCCTTCTATTACGGTTAAATTCTCTGGCGGCTTCAACTTTAGTCCATCTTCCAGTGTTATGCTTTTCCTTCGATGTTATTAACATTTTGTTGTCATCCCCATACTGAACTTCGAATACAACCTTACCTTCTTTCAACTTTACACTAATTGTCCGATTCTGAGTGTTGTGAATTAAAAAGATTGCCTTAGTTGATTATTTAGCTTACAACTTACATTTAACTTACCGTTTGATCGTCTACCGCTAAGAAAAGCAGGGAGTTTTCATCCATCGATTTAAAAGTTAATTGCAACTCAAAAACGTTGTCGCGATGCAATCTAAATCTTGTGTTGTTCATAACAGAATATCCATTCCCATCGAAATGACGTGCATTTGATGTCGCTCCTGTTTCAGTAGCTCCTGAAATGGCTCCACCACACTTTCCTTCTGAATGTGCAAAATTCCAAATACCTATTGGTTTAAAATCGACGTAAACTTGATGAACAATGACATTTAATCCTGGTGATGCTAATAAATCTTTGTACGTTAACTCTTTTGGTACACCGCCAAGCCAAATACGGTCTGATTTGGTTCTTATGAAACGAGTGTATTCTGGATGAGAATTTCCAGTTACAGCATACGAATCATTCAGAATACCAGAATTTGTCATGCGTCGCACCAGTAAGGAACCGTAATTTAAAGTTCTGTTAGCTTCGATATGATACCAAGCATCATCATATTTTGGATCTCTAGTTTCTATTTCTGTCGGATGCGTTACAGTAACTATACCACCACCCATATTCCAAAGAAAGCGGATTTTCCTTCGAAACATCTCCAAAGCTATAAATTTACGTTCGCGTCCTTGTAAAAATATTAAGGGTGAGTTACCTTTGGTGTTATTTAGAGCTATTGAAATTTTTATTATATTCGAGGTCGACAATCCAAGCGTTTGAGGAATATAAGAACGTACACATTTGGGAGTTAATGACTCTAAGGATATCTTTATCTACAAATTAAATTATATTATATAAAATAAAGTTAATTTTGTTAGATCTATACATACTCCTTCAGCAGCGTGTCTTGCCTTTGCCATTTTATCTTTTAATTCCTGCAATTGTCTAGACATTGTTTCATTCCACATTTCGAACTTTTCATGTTCTTTATGGTGAACTGTTTCAATTTCATTTAAAGAAATTTTTGCCCTACGAATATTGTTCAATGTTTCTGATATATTTTCTTCTGCTAAACTAATTTTTGAATCCCACTCTGGCTCCAAAGCAGTTAATCTTTGCCTTAAATTTTGAATATTCGATTTAATGTCTGAAGTTCTACGCTTTTGTTCTCGCATTTCGTCGGAAACAGTAGTCATCACATCAATACTTTCCCACACAGGATTCATGGTTTCTTTTGCATTTATAACTGCCATTGACATAGAAATGTTGTTCAATTTGTAACCGGCGTTCCATATTGTAGATTTTATTGTTTCAACCTTATCTTCATGATATTTTATTTTTATTTTAAGAGCTGGAATTATACAGTTTAAGATTACATACATATGTATGTATGTACGTTTTATTAAATTTCTTTCAAATGACGAAATACATTTTATTTAAGTTTATGTACCTTCAGTTTTGTTCATTTCATGCTTAGCATCTTTATTCAACTGTTTTGATCGTTCTAGAGATGTTTTAGCTTTTTCTACAACAGATTTATCACCCTTGGGATATAGTTTATCTAATGATATCATTACTGCTTCTTTAGATTCTATTGACGCGTAACGAGCTGCATCTATAGCTTTAGAAATATTTTTATGGGCGGAACTGAAATGAATTAAAAAAAAAGAATTTTTATAATTGTAAAGCAAAAGTAGCAAAGAAAGTTTACCTTGCCAACATTGCCACTCGTGCACCATCTTTCGTTGGTTGAAATTGTTTAGCATAGTCATTCGATCTTTCCATTAAACGTTTAGCATGCCGCCATGCTTTTGGTAGCCAATGTTTTCTTAAATCTCTACGTAAATTATTTTCGTTTATCCAACTTTCATTCCACATTCCTCTTAAGTTTTCCATATTTTTTATATTTACATCAATTTGTTCTCCACCTCCATCGACCATGTCAATCATAACATTTGCTCTTGGCATCAAATCACTGTCCAGCAATTGTTGTATGTAATCAGTCATTTCTTTCGCTTGCCCATAGGTCTCGTATACATAATTTTGCAAATTTACAACATGACTTCGTATGTCATCAGCTTCATTCAGCATATCAAATGTTTTATCCGTATAACGTCCAAGATCAGCCATGCGGTGATGAAATTGATTAATTTTACGCCAAAACATTTCAAGCATACCTTTTTGGTCAAAAACCGTGTCCGATGCATTACCATAAAAATAGTAATCATTCCAAGCACATCTCCATGCTTCTCTCATTGTGTTTGTTGTATCTTGATGATACTTAATTTCGGTTAAGTAATGACGCGCTTGTTCTAATGCCGAAGGCAAACTAATGTGTTGTTCATGATTTCCGTAATTATTTAGTTCAAATATTGTTCTTAGAATATCATCGCGTATAACACCAATCGCTTCCAAATATATTTGGTTTGCGTCTAAACGTTGCTGGTTTGCTGCTAAACTTTTTTTTGCTGCTGTCACATTAAATTTTCTCCATCGTATTTTAGTGTTTTCTGAATGAGAAAGCAATTTTTCTAAGGAAGCGACATCAAAAGTTTCAATTTGGTGTTTGGCATTTGAGAAATTATATAAATGTGATCTAATATTTTGCATTTGTGTATCATACTCTTGTAAATTTAACCACGGAGCTGGTATTCCAGTTAAATCCATATGAGCTATTCCACGGCGTAATTTATTAGATACTGACTCAACATAATCCAATAGGATTAAAGTGCAATTGTCACACGCTAAAGTGTACACATAAAAAAATGAGGAAATTAATAGAACCTTCAAGTATTTTATGGTACCTAAAGTATTGGAGTGGTAATTTATGCTTACTTTTACATTCCTTGTTCTCAGATAAAAAATGCCTCTCTGAAGTACAAGTATCACACTGTCGGCCTGAAACACCAAAACGACAATCACACTGACCAGTAGTCGAATCACATTCATCCGTTATAACTCCATTTAAATTGCAATCGCATGGTTTACAGGTGCCATGCAATTCGTGGGGATTACCATAATACCCGCTTCTACAACGATCACAACGTGCACCTGTGTAACCCGGTTTGCAGATACAACTTACTTCTCCCATAAAAATGTTACAGCCACGTGCGAAGTTTCGGTTTGTTTCAGGACACGGACATGGTTCACATTGGCCATAATTAGGATCTCCATAATATCCCTCGGCGCATCGTTCACAATTATCTCCACCGGTGAAATTTTTACATTTCTGTACATGAAGAAATATTTCTTTATGAGCATTTTCATAACATGATGTAATAATGATCAAATACTTACCAAACATGTACCCGTCTCCTGATCACATTCGTCACTTCTTCCATTACAATTACATGGTATAGACCACCCGATTAAATCTTCTAAAAAAAAAATTTCAGTGGAATCTGTCGTATTCCTCCATCTGTAATAGCCCTTGCCCGGATCTTGGCAAGAATATCCTCCATATTGAGGTGAACAGGAGCACAATTCAATACCGTTTGCTATAATATTTTTGGAACCAGCCAGATATATAGCAGAATCCATATGAACATCACATAATCTGTAAATAAATTTATATTAAATTGAAATAAAAGTAAAAAAATAAAAGTGATAAATTCTTACACAACACTTAAAAAATCAGCATAAGAACTAGCCCTTATAAAAATGTGCTTAATATTTTGTAAGGCAGTCATCATTACAGCTCGTGTTATATCTTGCCTGTTATGATGAAACTTCCAGTAAGACTCATGCAATGGAATTACATATGTTTCATTTTTTTCTGTATTAGTCCACTTGGTACTATAATAATCCAAAACAAGTCTACCATGGGAGTGTATTTGAACCAAAGGATACTCTAGCAAAATATTTCTTTCTAAAGGAGTTGTTGCACCTTCGGTTGTTATATTGAATTTCAAATAACCTCCGTAACTACTTGTTCGGTCTCCATAAAATTGTGGAGGTAATTGAAAATATAGTGGTAGGTAAAACCATGTATAAGCTCCAATTGTCACATTACCTACTGAGCTTGGAATTAGATTTAAACCATTCATTTGACCAATTTCAGCGTCTTCATGAAACATATGAGTTCCTTCTAATAAAACCACAACAATATATTCATAATCACGTGATGGTACTGAAGTAGGGTTTACGTAATGAACACTCAAATTGCGTGAAATTGGCATTCTTATATGACCCCATGACAATTCACTTTGTCGACAAAACTGTGATCTCCCAAAGCAAAAGCATTTTGTACAACCAGTTGGATTTGTCTTTGTTAGTCCAAAAGTTGATTTAACACATTTATCGCACTTCAATCCTTCAACAAATTCTTTACAAAAGCATTTTCCATCTTGATCACATTCAATAATGCCATCATTCCTTATTAGAGATCCGTCTGGATTACAATTACATCTTCTGCAATTTGGGTAGCCGAAATAACCAACACGGCAAACATCACATCTTCTACCAGTGTAGCCTTCACGACATATACATTGACCAGTTTGTGTTTCACAAGTTTGTCCAATAGATCCACTCATATCACAATTACATTTTTGACAACCAATTTTCGACTTCCAACCCCATGTACCTTGGTGACATTGTAAGCAATCATAGCCTTTACTATTCGGTGGACAAACACATCGCCCTGTTTCTGAATCGCAAATATGACCTGGTGTCTGGCATACATCACACAGTTTACATCCCAAATTTGAAAATCCATAAAATCCGTCTAAACACTGGTCACAGTGTCTCCCGCCAATCCCTTTTTTGCAATTACATTGACCAGTCCATAAATCACATTCATCATCTATTGAACCAATATTATTGCAGCTACAATCCCTGCAACCAATTCCAGTTGTCAAATTCCAAAATCCATTTTCACAACGTTCACATCTTTTTCCAGTTACATTAGGATGGCATAAACATTGACCAGTTTTTCGATCACATATTTGTGTAAGCGATCCAACTGGATTACACAGACATTCTGAAATTGATACATATAATATAATATATTATACTTTAGATTAATTAATATTGAAAATATATGTATATGTAAATATGTAAAGGATCAATTATTATGGGACACTAAAACGTTTTGCCTTAAAAACTGAAATGCACTGCATGTACTGCTGCTTGTACTGCAAATATACAGTTTTTGCTAAATACGTAGTTCTCTTTTTATTTTATTGCAAGTTTTTTAAATAAGATTGAAAATAATTTGATACAGTTGACGACTGCAAGAAAATTTAATCAAATTCTTAGATTTTTGCTTTTATTGTAAGTGCAAATACCCTTGTTCTATAAACGTTTAATTGTAAACAAGCTTATATGTATGTACAAAAATATCGATGCATCAAAAAATTTTTTTTCTGTAATTAATTTTTTGTTGAATTTTTTATTTTAATTATTTTTATAAACTATATTATGTTAAAAAACAAGGACAGAAAATACTGTTTTCAATTAGCAAAAAATTGAAAAAATTCATCTCATGAGTTCGTCATTAATTTATAAATTAGATTTCCTTTTCATATTTTCGTTTTAGCAGATTCCAAACAAAATTAGAAAAATGCGTTTTAAAAGGTAGTTTCAATCTGACCACTCAAGAGACACTGCTAAGCACTCTTCTACATCCGTCAATGTAGAACACTAAAAATTTATACACAAAAGCGTTCTTACCAAAAATTTGTTTCGGTGGGGAAAAAAAAAATATTTTCTTCCTTCCTGTATTAGTTGCACCTTATAATTTCAAAATTTGGTTTTTTTTTTAAATCTATTATGAAAACCACAAAATTTTTTTAAATCTCAAGCAAATAGTGATTTGCTATTGCTACTGCGAAACAGAATATACAATTATTAGAATGACAAAATAACCGTTAGAACTAAACATTACTTTAAACCAGAATTCAACCAGAAATTTAGTAATCGTTTATTTTTTTCATGCAATTTTGGCAATGACAGAAACTCAATTGTTTTATGTAGTCTACTGTAATGTTGCTTTTCTTGTTTTCTTGTTACATGTAGAGATCAAAAATATTGCAAATGTCTACATATGAAGGTAGATATGTGTGTATATCTGTATTTCATTATATAAAATAAATTATGTAAAATTATAACTTCCTTAAGTGAATATGAGTAAAGTTTTATTTATGCAATATTAATATGCAATAATAATAAGCCTGTTTACACTTAATCATAAATGTTTGACATTTCATAGTAATTTCAAGTAAAGTTCCGAAAATACTTGCTAAATAAACTTTTAACTAATTCTCGTATCAATTAACCAAATCGTTAACATTTGGTTCAAAAAAAAAAAAAATAAAAAAGCAAATAATTTTGAAAATGTTGAAAGCATACAAAAATTAAAAAATCTTGGCAACTTTTGCGTTGGCAAAAAGAACAAAAAAATTTTTTATGAATGAATTTTTGTTATTTGTGATTTTTTTTTTATATTTTCCTAGTTTTTTTATTTTTATGTGTTTTTTTTTTTGTTTTTTTATTGTTTTTACTCAACATTAAAGAAAAATGTCTAGTATCTGCACGACTCCTATGACGGTGATGACGACGATTTCTCATTAAACGAAAATATGTACAAAAAAAGGTAATTTTTCCTGTGTAGGCGATTCATTCATGTTGCCATGCAATTGCAATTTGAGATAAAACAAAAAAAAACGAAATTAAAAATACTACAATAAAAAGAACTTGAAAACAACAACAATACCAATCCAATTGCTTATTTCCGTTTGAATTTATAGCAACTACTAAAAATACTGCTAAACATATTAAACATTTGACTAGACTTTTAATACCAGACTGGTTGGCAGTATTCTGATCCAAAAAATTATTAATCAAGTGAAATTTTTTTATTTCTTTTTTCTCTTCTGTTAGAAAAATTTAATATAAAATCTGACTGAGATAAACCTAAAAGAGTTTCTCTATTAAAGATAAAAGTAGTAATATTAAATAGAAAAATTTGTTTTTCAAACTGTTATTCAAATTTCTATTAAAAATTTAAATTATTAACTTAGAAAACTTTTATTTGACGTATATATGCACATAATACCGGAAAATAGTTTAAAATAAAGGATTTAAAAAGGACATCAACAGAAATAAATAATGAGTAATTCAACATGAAACTATAAAGGGTTTCGAAGGACTGAAATTGAGCAGTAATGCGTTTTTGTATATTGGTTAGTATATATTTCTGACTCATTTGATATTTTTAAGTTAGAGTTAAAATTTCCCTAAAATCCACTTTAAAATTATTGATATTTGACAAAATATTAAAATAACACGAGTCAAGGGCCGAAATGATGCGATTTGAGGTTACGTGATATTTCTTGTTTTTATGACCCACCTGGTTTTTATTACTTTTTGAAAAACAATATTGACCATTCAGGCTGAAATCTGCGAGCAAATAACCGACAATATAAGTCAACTAATAAAATCCCAGAGATTAAGTTTTAGTCTTAAGAACAAAGAAAAAGAAACAAACACTATAGCGTAGTACTAAAGATAATACACCATCACTTTCCCTACAAAATGTTTCGAGAAAAAAATTTTATGAAAAATCACACGAAAAATGCAATCAAATGTCCCAATATAAAATAAGGTTAGCAAACTAAGGGGAACAAAGAATAAAACCTTATTTGTTTTTGGTTTTAATCTCTCTCAGGCTTTCTCTGTGTTAACAACTTAAGGTTTTCAATTTATTACTGAGATTATTACAACAATTAGGTTCATTTTTTTTAGTTTTTCTTTTTAGATTTTTCATTAATGATTCAAAAAATCGTTGTGGAATCGCATTGAAAATTACATGTAATTTTTTTTACGCATTAGATGCAAAAACAATATAAACGATAAATTAAAATTTGAGTGCATGTAATCGTCAATTGCAAAATAACTGTGGGATTCCCCTGCTTTTATAGCCCTTTAAGCTATGTGCATATACATATGTATATTTAAATATACTTACATGCGAGCAAGTTTAGAAATTGTAAAATTAATTTTGTACAGTTTTTTTATATGTAAGTTAAAGACGAGGTTATATACATAGAACAAATAGGCTGAGAGTATTAAATTTCCAATTTTACCTCTATGTATTCAATGTTTCATTTAATAAGCATATGTAAACGTTTAACTGATTTCGTTTGTACAAGAAAATGAAGAGTTTTGTTATTTTCCTCTCTATATACTGAAAGTTATGTACATATGTATGTATGAATACAAAAGTAATTTATCGCACCAGCCCTTCTTTATAGCATTCTATTTTGGTTTTATTTTTTAGAAAATTTCTCACAAACTTGAGAATATTGATTATTAGTTTGGCTCTGCCTACTTACAAAATTTCGTTTAAAAAAGGTGTCATTTCAGGGAATCCCGTTCTCTAGAAGAAAATCTTTGTTTATCTTTAGAAGTCATAACAGCTAAAGTCGTAGAGGCAGCTTATTTGTTCTTTTTATTCTGGAAGGTTTTACAATTTAATATCTTGTTATGATAAGATATTAAAAGAACAATGTGAACATCTGTTTTCAAAAAAAATATAGTATATTTGTTTGTTAACCATTGTTTATATCCGAATTTATTTTACTGAAAGTCGTTTTGTTTGGGTTTTATTTTTACATAATATACATGTATGCATATTATTGTACATATTTATAAGTAATATTATAATGTAATAGACGACGAAGCCTACGCAAAATCTCATTAAATTACCCGTACACGAATATTACCTACATACATAAAAAAAATACTATAGTAGATATATTAAAATAGTATTTTGTTTCGTAGATTTTTAGTATTGTCAAAGTTATTTTACATATCTTTTATTAAAAAGAGGAAGTTGACGGTTCATTTAAATTTCAATATTGATAAAAAGTTCAAAACCATGTGAGTTAATATACGGAAAAGTGGCAATTTTGATGCAAAAAATTATATTGCATTAATTTTATATTTTTATTTAAAATTTTAGTAGAGATGGGTTAGGTAACTAATGAAACAATAATCTACTCAATCAATTTAACTATTGAATATTTAAGTAATTTTTAAAAGTCTGAATTCTATAAGAAAGTTCAAAATTTATTTTTGGCGTTTTAAACTATAATAAATTTAAATATTTATTACCAAATTAATGGAGTAAGGTAGGTTTGAGTTTCTACTTACTGGATCAAGAAGTGTTTTGAAATATTAGATTAAAATTTTTTGTTCCATTAATAAAATATCTTGGGTTTAGTAGTTTTCATGGGAAAATTAATATTTCCTGTGAAAAAGATGTCCACGGGAAAGAAAAAGAGTTATTTATTTTTAAAACCGTTGCAATACCATATAAAATTTCAAGTTTGAATGCAAAAAAAATACCTCCCTTTCAAGGTCTTTTATTTTTCAACTGATAAGTGTTGATGAAATGCTTCAGAATTACACTATCACCATGTTAAGAGTAAATAAAATATATTCTAGACTTTGAATTGTTTAATAAAAGGGTGTTATGATAAATTTGAAAATATTTTATAATTTTGGTAAATAATTAATTATGAGCGGCGCCAAATTGACACATTTCCGTATATTGACTCATAGAAGTACGAGGCGGAAATAAGTCAAAAACTAATTGATTACTAAGTTTATTTTATTTTTTATGTGCACTTTACACCTGAATCCGTTTATAAAAACAAAAAGTTTCTTTAAGATTTTTTGCTTCAACACAAATATTTTGTACCTTTTTGCCTCTTCGTTCCTTATTAATACTTTAATTTATTTTTATTTTTTCTTTTGGTTTGTACCACTTATTTCATGCTTCATTTATACTTTTATAGTTTTAATAGTGTGGTAATTGATTTCAACAAGTGTCTTGGTTTTGTGTTGAGCTTTCTTTGTTCACAACACATAATCATGTTTATTACTTTATAATAAAGTATTGCTATCATTATTGCATAAACCATGTTATACAGGGTACATAGCTTTGAAGTTGTTCATTAGACCGAAAGTGTGTTA